TGGCGCCAAAGAGGATGATTTCTTTCAGGCCACAGATGTTCGTACTTCTGTCCCTCCTGTTGGTCTTTCTGTCCCTCCTGTTGGTCTCTCTGTCCCTCCTGTTGGTCTTTCTGTCCCTCCTGTTGGTCTTTCTGTCCCTCCTGTTGGTCTCTCTGTCCCTCCTGCTGGTCATTCTGTCCCTCCTGTTGGTCTTTATGTCCCTCCTGTTGGTCTTTCTGTCCCTCCTGTTGGTCTTTCTGTCCCTCCTGTTGGTCTTCACTCAGTCTCAGGTCCTCCCCCCCTCGTCTGTCCCTCTCTCTGTAGTACTCCTCCCTCAGGTCCTCCCCCCCCTCGTCTGTCCCTCTCTCTGTAGTACTCCTCCCTCAGGTCCTCCCCCCCTTGTCTGTCCCTCTCTCTGTAGTACTCCTCCCTCAGGTCCTCCCTCCCCCGGCGTCTCCACCCTGCCGAGGACACATGGAAGACGTCCACACAGTTCCCAGACCAGGCGTCCCTGTGTGTGGCTCTATAGACAGCCTCCCTCGCGATCGACGTGGCCTCCTGCAGCGTCAGATCCCACCTCACCCCCTGGTCCAGGATGGAGTAGGCGTAGGGCGACCCCGAACCCACGGAAAAGAGTGCCCCCTGCAGGCGAGTCCCGTCACTGCAGACGTAGAACAGACTGGGACCAGAGGGACGCTTCCTGACAAAGCTTTTCTGGGCATCGGTTGAGCTCTGCGAGGCCTTTTCAAGACTGTCAGGATCACTAGGACCAGTTCTTGCATCGATCGAGCTCTGCGAGGCCTTTTCAAGACTGTCAGGATCACTAGGACCAGTTCTTGCTCCCCCCTGGGTTGTTTCCTGGTTCTGATCCAGTTCCCCTCCATCCCACCCGCAGAGCGTCGCGGCCACACACAGCTCGCTGCCTTTAAAGGGGTGCAACATGTGGGACATCAGTTTGGCGGCGCCGCCCGTGGACAAGCGTCGGCCGTGTCGGAGTTGGTATAGCCGGAGTTCTCGAGCCAGGATCCGCTTCCAGAGGGCGCAGTCTGCGGAGGTTCCTGACGTGGTTCCCACCAGGTGGCTGTGGATCGGCAGGACCTTCTGAGAGGACGGACACGCCACCAGCCCCGAGCAGCTGGAGCGGGTGTCGGCCGCCGCCAGGACACCGCCCTGGAACAGGAAGGCCAGGGTGGTGGTGCCGTGGGACATGGGGAAAGGAAGGGGGACGGGCTGAGGGGAGTCCTGTGGGAGGCCGGGGGGCCAAGAGAGGGAGGAGAGGAGGTGGTCCTGAGAGGTGAAAGCACTGCTCACCTGTCCAAACTGCAAAGGACTCTCCTGCAGGAACTCTGCCGCCGGGATGAAGAAGTTGAACAGGGGGGACCTGCTGCTGGCGGGGAAACCATCGTCATAGTAACCTGTCCTCGTCCCAAACGGAGAGCAGTCCGTGTCCGGGAAGACTTCCTGGAGGTGGCACAGGTCCTGTAGAGCCATTTCATCCGCTCTCTTATCGAGGGATATCCACAGCGCAGTCAGACAGAGGTTTGCTTACTTTACAGGTTCTGAGTCCTCCTTTATACTCAGCAAGGCGCCGGTCATCTGATCCGAACCCTCAAACACCATCTTTCACTTTAAGGCGTTCAAGCCCACGGGTTGTTAACTGCAGCTGCTGAATCGGGTGCTTTCAGATCATCAAAGGAGGGGGGGGGGGCTCCTTCAGATTATCTTACACTCTTTGATGAATCCTTCAGGGCTGAAAGGAATCATTTCTGTAAGCGGAGATAATAAAGACCAGCCTTTCAAAAATCTTAATTTCTGCCCAAAGAAATCCATAATGTAAACAAGTGAGGAAGAGGGGGGGCTTCTTCAGACTATCTTACACTCTTTGATGTAACATGCTAATGCTGTTATAAAAGATCTAAACTTAATCCAAACTTGTTTTGTAGACTAAGAAGCATACTGAATAAAGTCCATTTTGAGAGAAAGTCCACATTTTTTAATCGGCAGAAAAGATACGTAATATTAAAAAAAAGTTATAATTCTGAAATTTGAGGGAACAAATCATAATTTTGCCAAAAAGCAAACAGAATTTAAATAAATCAGGAAGAGGGGGGGCACCTTCAGATGATCTTGGCTATTATTAGCTGAGATAATAAAGACAAGCCTTCAGCCAGGCCCTTCAAAGATATTCAGGCATTAAACCTGCAGCACCAGAAAATCAGGTCAAGCTGCAAAACTCAGGGTGTATCCACACACACCTGTCCGCTGTGAGCAGGTAACACACACTCAGGAGTCAACTCACAACTTCACATGTCAAATGGATTCTTAATGAACTCATGGATTACAAGTCAGACTGAAAATGAAGGTGTTACAGTCGCTCTGCTGCTTGTTTGCTGCCGTCATGGTAAGAACTTCATTAAACAGCAGAGATGATCCTGTTTGAACGTGTTTGGTTTTGAACGCAGTACGTGGCTGTTCTCAGAGTAGAAGCTCCGTGACCTCTCTGTAAACCAGCAGAAAGACACAGACCTGCTGACACTCAGATGTGATCTGATGATCTGTGGTTGCTGCCCCTCCAGGTCTGTGATGTAGCCTGAAGGAGATCTCTATGCTAGCTCTCTATGCTAGCTGTAAACCAGCTAGTGGTTCAGGCCCATTGGTGTTATTCTGAGATCATCTCCAAAACTGATGTCTGCGTTCACGAAGTAGATCATTTGGTCATTTAAAATCTAACTGAGCAAACAGAAGGAAGGCCAATACACTAATCATTTATGTTTGTTTTTTATTTCCAAAGTCTCTCAGAAACAAGAATAAGCTGCAATGTGCTAATGCTCGACTGAACAATGTAAACTCTTAACTTTAACCAGCAACAGAAAAAAGTTTGTTTTCAAAAAAGTCATAATTTTGACATTTTTGAAAAAAGTCCTAAAATCAGAACATTTAGAAAAAAGCCATAATTTAAGAAAATTCAGAAAAAGACAGACTTTGTTGTTGCTCCATACTCAGAGACAGCCTGTGTTCCTCAGTATATTACCTGCCCCCCCC